TCATTTACTATCTTACTTTATTCTCATTTGATATTTTTATTATAATTTGATTTATTTATGATCTTATCTTAATTAATATTATTTTTTTATAATTCAGTTTATTTACAATTTTACCTTCTTCTTTTTTTTTTTTGTTTGATGTTGTTCTTTTATAATTTGATTGATCTTACGTTATGTGATGTTATTTTTTTGATATATTATCTTGGTCTGATGATTTTTTTGAGTTTTTTTTTTTAAGAAATATTTTCTCAAAAAAACCATAAAACTATTTTGATATAAATAAGAAGTTGCAATATCAAGAAAAGCAAAAAGGTTCCACTAAATTATAATGAAACATTGAAATTTGCCAGAACAATGCTTGCTTTTGATAAATAATTACTCAAACATTAAGATTGTCCACAATACAATATCTCACAATCACAAACAGGCACAACATTAGCAATCTCAGATACAACATAATTCCCTTAACATCCTTTCTTTGTTTGTTATTCACAAACAAAGGAATATATTAAGGACTAAGGAGAGCGAGCATTCAAATCAATGAAGTACTCAAAAGAGGAATTGAAAGCATTTTGGAAAGTCTCATCGTTGCTAAATGCCAAACCAATTATCTTGTCATATTTGTCCTTCAAATCCAGGAGACGTTCCACAAAATCTTCAGGATCCTCTGCAACCAGCTGCTGACCAGTTTGTTGTATGTATGAAGTCATAACGTCCCTGATTAAAGCAAATCCATTAGGTACCCGATGAAACAAGGAATACATCCTTCCCAAATCCTCATATTTGTCATCTACAATCATATTAACTAGGCCTGAGTTCTCCATGTGGACCAGTCTCACCATGTGGGATTCTATCAACTCCTTTTCTACCACATTAGTTATTTTGACTTCAGTTTTGGCATCCAAATAGTGAGAGACTCTCTCTTTTTCTTCATTCAGATATCTTTCGGCTTCCTTTAGATACTCCATGCAATCACAAGACTGAATGAACTTTTGAGACTCAAGGCGGTAAAAGTGAGCTGATGACTCAAGAAATTGCTTCTCAAAGTCATTTTGGTAAACAGAAGAGCCTAGATCCATTAGCATCTTTGTGATGTTCCTCATCAACTCCCTATTTATGACTTCACCATCCCTTTCTCTCTGTATGAGTTCAAGAAGTGTATCCTGAAGCCTAGTCTGGATTTTGCTGGAGTGGATGACAACATCCCTCCACAGATTCAACCCAAGCTCATGAACTGGTGTTTTGTGGGTAGATGGAATGAATGTCCTATCCATGTACATAAATATATCTCGGATCATTTGCAAGGCCTTGTTATGATCTTCCCATTTGCTGTTCAGCTCTTCCAAAAACAACCCTTCTTGAGCAGCTTCAATTGAACTAGACATCTCCTTTAAATGAAAAGTTATGGTTGTCACAAGTCCAGAGTACAATTTCTCTCCAAATTTGTGCAGCACCATATTGTAAGCATTCCTAATTTTAACCCAATGCCAACATCAGTACAAGTTCCCAAAAAATTAAGAAATATGAACAATTAAAAACTATGCCTTAATTTTTTATTTTTTTTTCAAAGATGCTAATGTTGTGGAGGGTTTCCTAATATAAGTTATTTCATTTAATTGTTCATATTTTATAATATGGTATAGGAAAAATTATAAAATAAGATTTTTTTAAATAAATAATCAAAAATAAACAACATGTTTTAAAATAGAGCATATGATTTATCAGATAAAATACTGTCAATCAACAAAATTGTTTTATATTTTAATTCCAAGAAACACATGATATATTGAATCAAAGCATTATAAAGCTAAAAGAATAACAGCAACAGGGCAGAAATTAGAATGAATCAGTAAGAGCAACAAAACTTTACACATAGAGCTCTTCAAAATTGTTGCCACTGGCGTTATGGTTATAAATTTCATGAATTGCATGTTCCAGAATATTCCACGTCTTCTCTGCGTATTTTGGATCCACTCCGACCTGATGCTTAAACTTAAACGCCTCTATCTGAAAGGTTCGATTCTTCGGAGCACTCATTTTTCTTCTATCAAAACAAACACCAATTCCTCAACAGAAACCCACCAAAATCACTGAGAGCTATGTACAAAAACTTGATTCAGCTACGATTGGAGAAACATAAACATACCTTTTCCTCAGAGAAAACAAAAGAATTGGGCTCCGCTCGTTGCTGGTGTTTGGCGTGTGAGACGAGAGGAAGAGGAAAGGGACACTTTTCTACTGACCTCTTTTATCTCTAATTCGTAGTCAAGACTTCCTTACCACGTTCCGTTCTACGGTTCTAGTGCCGTTGTCTTCCTTACCACGTTCCCTTCTACCGTTCTAGTGCCGTTGTTTTTATTACATTTTTCCTTCCACATTTTGTCCTTTTCCTATTTGACTGTTGGTACAATAGTACCCCGGATGGCCAGACTGGGTCAACTTTTTTTTTTTTTTTTT